CACGACCATTTATATTGTACACTGTACAACGCAACCCGGCAGACAAGCATTTATTTATGTACATACACCAAACTTAAAGCATATCCAATATATCTTACGACAACCAATTATTATTATTATTGTTTTATAAATCTCAATAAGCTACACAGGCATATAACTTGAAACACTAGCCTACTTTCAATAGCATAACGCTGCTTAATAATTTGTTAATCGCTTCACCATGTTTTTAGGACATACATGTCGCACTACACGCAAGCTACAGATTTATAATTTCAAAGCGCGACTAACATTGTTAAAAGCATGTTATCTTAAAAAAAAAAAAAAAAAAATATGTTATGAAAAAGTGCTGAGTTTACTGGAATTTAATACATTCTCCTCTATATCTATGACCAGCATTAAGTATTTATCGTTGTAGCGGACCACGGGTAACCCGACCGGCTACCTCTGCTGATTCCCTTCCTTAAGCCGATCAGGAACCATTCACAATACAAAGAGACCCATCTTCCCCCAGTAACTGGATGACACACAGTCCTAGAGGTACAACACAATTGTATTGGCCACACACAGCTTTTATGCATTACCCCATGCAAGGGGTCTACCACACAATCATACAGGGTCACATCCCAACATCCTCCCCTCTCTGGGGACCCAGTGTGGGATGGGACTCTATTCCCTTTGTCCCCAAAGCCCGCCACTAAATCCACAGGGTCCCCCACACCAACTGCCACGGGTCTTCTTCCCAAGCGCTTCTGTGCATGGGAGTCTAGGCATGGGAAAAAGGGACCATCCCTTTGTCTCCCAGGCACAGAAAAGCCCACCTGCTGGAAAAGAGCTGGTCTCTTTGTCCCTCAGGCTCAGGAGAGCCTGCCAAACTTGCCAGTGCCCCAGAAGTGCCCACACCAATCTCAGGGATCCTCGCCACAGTCCCTTGATTGGCTGGTCTCCGTTCGCGAGGTCCTGGTGTGAAACCCAGACAAGGGAAGTATCTCCTTTCAGAGTACACCCCCTGGATGGTGTTTTTATATGTGAAATGGCGGCCACCCAGGGGAGCACTCATTAATTACTTGCCTTGAGGTTTCACACTTAGTTTCCAAGTGAGAACGTTCTGATTAATTGGTGCGAACGTTCTAATGGGCACTTGGAGATCCTCGTTCGGGAAACGAATGAGCCGGGAAACAATCCACAAACGCTCCCAGTGGCTGGCGTTCGTCTGCGGTTTGATACTTATGTTGTGAGGTTTGAAGGTTTTAAACTAACATTCTAAATAAGGTATCGGGGTGGACCCCGTTCAGGAGGCGAATTAATCCCCTTCGTAAAGGCACTCCCGAAAGGGGAGCGGGCACAATATACGAAGAGATGGGGAAACACACACAATATCAAAAAGGCAATACACAGACAGGCAGCGGTCCCACCACAATTGTACAATCCATTTTCTAACTGGACAATTTAAATGGATACATTACAAAACATGGTTTTTAATTTGGTATTACTATTGCTACAGATAGTGACATGATCAAGCTACCATTTGACATTGTAACACTGCTTTTTTCCGTATCAGATTGTTTAAGTAATTTTGCTTTAGTTCCAAATGCCATAGTGACTGTTCACTCAGAATTTAAGAAAAACTTGTTTTAGTGATCTGTCTTTCACCCTCGGAGAATTCATCTTGTTGAACAGCCTGAAGTTATGATAAATTTGCTGTGTTGATAAAAAAAAATAAAAAATTGAATCTAATGTACCCACTCATCGCATTTACTTCATGAAGAAATTATAACATTCAATAAATGCACTGTTTTGTTTTGTTTTTTTGTCATGGAAGGATTAAGATCCCATGGAGACCAACTTGTTTTGTGCCAACATCTACCTTAATTCTTTACACATGGATGGATGACAAATTGGTCCAGGCAAATTCAAGGCTCTTGGGACTCTATCCGTTGAGAGCTAAGGTCAATGTATTGTTAATTCTGCACTGCATGACTGTGACTATTAGAAAACAAACAATTGCATATTTAAAAATGCTGAGATTTTATTGTTTATATGTGGAATGTCAGGCTTTCCATCACTTAATTAACTATATTACATGTAACACTTCCTCTTACAGCTCCATCACAATACTTGTTTTGGAAACCTATAAAGGTAAGCAATGCCTGGGCTTTACAGTAAGCAACACACGGACGGGGGCGATGAAGAACAAAAATTGACCATAGCATATAAAAGATTGACAGAATTTAGCAGACAAATACAAGGCTAATACTAGCAGTGACCAGACACAGATTTGCAACATTTAGGAGAAAATAGTCAAGCTTTGAATGCAGGTGATTCTAGATCATATTCTCAACTATTCTATTGGTTTGCCAGGTTCATTTTCAATTTGCCCAAAATATACTTTTTTTTTCTTGAAAATAATACTTTACAGTGGACAACCAAACTACAGTGGACAACCAAACATAACTGTGCCGTTGTTAAAATGAACAGATAGTAATGCTTCGGTTATTTAAATACTACTTCGGTTATTTAAATTTACTATATACATAAAGCATCCTCATCATTCAGAAATTAAATATTTTTCTATATATTTATAGATTTGTTTGTTTGTTTTTTAGAAAAAAGGAAAAAAGTAACTAAACAGAAAACAAATTGTGAGGTGCACATACATTTCTGAAAATCTTTTTAATATCTTTAGATGAGCCAAAAGGAAGGAGGCAGACAAGATTAAATAGAATTTAGGAGACAGTAAAAAAAAATAAAAAATCCACAGGGTGGTTCAATTTTACAAGCTGTAACCCCCGTGTCCGTGAAATGCTCCACATAATAGCTAATACATTCCATTCCTATAAGAATGTGTTCACCTATAAATCCAGGTGACATTTGTAGTGTATAAAATACAAAATATGTCAGATAAAAACAAACAGTTAATACATTTTATGGTCATAAACCAACAATCTTTTCTAAAAGGAGGATGTTTAAACCCGAAGGACGTCATATAATGAACATGTATTTAGGGACAACATGGTGGATTCCAGTTAACATATTGACGATACATTACACAACACAAGCAATGTGAATAACCCAAAGTTTGGACACGTTTAGACACATGTAAGGAAGACATTGAATACCATCTAGATCTTCCCTTCTCATTCCTCACTGTACAAGTTACCCTTTTTAAGAGAACACACAGCATCCTCTCAATAAGGATGGATTCCTGCTGGTGGATAACAATACTTTTTTTCTGGAAATATTTTTGCAGCCAAATTGTTAATGTGCTGAGCATTTTCTCCAACAGTTTGTTTTTTTGCACTGTTGGTGACTAGGTATTTGAATAAGAATGGTGTATGCAAAGGGGGCATGGATTACCCACACTTTGACCTTGCCGATATCAGCAGATTTGGGATATTTTTATAAATCTAATAACTGATCACATTGTATCTCTGGTTTAAACATATCTGCTGGTCCGATGGCCGATTTGTAAAGTCCTGGGCGTGATCCTTGAGAAGTAGCAGGTGGACATATATTAAATTATACATTTCTTAATTATCTACTAGTTTGTTCACAATTTAATCTATTTGGATATTTGAGGACTACAGTTTCCCATAATGTTCAGTCTGAACCCAGGGAAATGTAGTCCAAGAGTATCTGCAGTGCAGAACTTAGCTGTCACTGGCCTTCATTTTTAATGAAATATATAAAACATTTTAATGGGGGACTCGAACCACCATAGTCACTACAGCAATTTATATTGGCTATGGTGCCAGACGTTTTCCTGGGTTGCCGTCGCACTATTAAGACATTCTGTAAAACAATTTGCCAGTGTGATGGTGTCGGGTGACTACTGACATCATAAGTGTCCCTTTGATTTTCTACAGATACAGATATTGGAACATGGCAGATTCTTTTAACAATAGATTCTCTACACACACGTTTCATAATGTATCAAATGTGCCCGTAGAATATTAGAATAAATGTAAACACTGAATTATAAAGGAACACTCCAAGAACTAACCACAAAACCACCACAGCCTGCTGTAGTGATTATAGTGTCAGAAGTGCCCTGGGACCCTCCCAAATTAATTTGTCAAACCATATTAAAACAGTTTGACAGCTTACATGGGTCCTGTCAGGTGCCAGGGCACTGGTATTATAACCACTACCAGTGTAATTGTGATAGTGCTTGGAAGCTTACCTTTAAATCTCCTATGTTGTAAATTCAAAGGCAGATTACCAAATTACACTAGAAAAAAACGCTACACAGCTCAGGACTCTAAAACAATATGCATTGCAACCGAAAGAAACAGATGTAAAGGGACATATAATGACATGATATCATTCTGATACACAGATTAACCATTTTGTATATTACTTCCAATGCTTTTGATAGAAAATTGCCATGCAAAAGATCTCAGTATGAGATTTTTTTGGTAAAAAGGAGAGAAAACAGTCTTCAGCAATAATACGTGCTTAACACACTGGAATATATTCCCCGTCCATTCATACTAAAGGTTTCACAGAGAATTCTTCCAAATATGATAAAAGGAACCCCATGGACACATTTAATTTTAATTCAGAGAAGGTTCTTTGGAAACAGAACAGGCGTTGGAAGAAGGATTTGCGATGGTGATATTTGGTAAATCAGTGAGCATAAACGCAGAATCCACCGGTCACAGTTCATAGCTGGACTAAGGGCTGGAGGGCCAAAACCACACTCAGCCAGTTACACACACACATTGTGTGTACACCTAAGGCCACAACGTCCCATTGTTGCTGGTTTCATCCAGAGTCTCTAATGAGGTAAAATGGGCACCACAAGCCATGTCCGTTGAGGAGATAATACCCCGTTGATGAGTTAAGAGTTATTTTCAGACTCTCATTAACACAACTATTCTCCAGTTAATATTCATGTCCATTATATTCTTATAGAAAAAAATGGAGTAAAAACATATTCACATTTCTATTGGCAGAACCCATTCCGTTTATCAATTTATTATTGTTCATATACGGTCGTGTCACCTTGCAGAACTCGGACACCCATAAGCATGTTTAAGAATTAGATTTTCATGGCTGGGTAGTTTATTTGCATAGTAGTGTTCAACCAGACTGCCAACGTCTTCAAACAATACATCTGCTTCTAGGTAGACTTTGTTATCCTAAAAGAAGAGAAGATATTACAATAATTTTACTTCACCTCTTAAAGGTTAGTTCAGGACTCAAAACTGCTATTTTAGTGGGTCTCCCCTGTTTTGAAAACACTTTATTTTTCTTATTTTTGCAGTTCAACTATGTACATAACTTGAGTCTCTGTTTAAAAAAGTTTTATGGGGTTTATTCAGAAAATTATAGACAATAACGACAAATAAACCACAAATTACTTGAAGGCTAACGTATTAGGACAAATATGAAAGCATTATGTACACAAGAAGTGCTAAATGGAAAAGAACCAGTGGGTCTGTCATAGAACTTTGATGCAATGGTTTGAATATTTATTTCACCAACGTAAAATATGCACTTCCTTTCACCAAAGAGGCTTAAATAAGGTTCTGCATGACTCAAAGTTCACAGATTTTTGTTGGGGGTTATTGTGTAGTTTAAAAAAAAAAAAAAATCTACCAACCTTTTCAAAGATCCTGTAGTTCCGGACTTTGTCGGCCATCCCATCCCACACAACTAAAACCTTGAATGAAAGATGGAAGACTGTTAGTTCAGCAAACGCTGTCATTTCACATTGTTTGTTTATATTGCATTCTTACTTACAATTGATATATAGAATGTTCAATTACAATAGAGTTAAGTCACAAAACAGAGTTATGTATTGAAAACAAATGAGCACATCAACTAATTTCAAAGCGAAAAAACCCACGTGTGTTTGTATCGAAGATAGTCATGAACTGTTTATTTTATTAATATGTCTGTCTTCTGAGGTAACCTGATCTATTTGTTATTTTAAAGGAGACAGCTATGTGTTCAAAATCCAAGCAGCATTGTGGCTGATACCACAGGGACGTAAAAACTATAATGCATGGTGTGATTGCATATACATGTCTTGAATTGCTGTGTTCCATTCCCTAATGTAGTACTCTCCTGTAGAGATGTACTTTGTCAAAAATAAATTTGTTTCAGTTCGTTGTTAATTTGTTATTTTTTAAATGTCTACAAATTTAGATTCAGAACGAATTGCTGTTAAGCGACACTAGCAGTTTAGTAGAGAGGTCCGTAAACAGCAACTCCCACGTAAGGTAGGAATCAGAATAACAAATTAGCTATCTACTAAAGCCTTTTTTCCTTAAATTTGCTAATTTAGTTGCTTAGTGGACAAGTCCCTTATTTGGCAATCCAACATAAGGATAGGATACGGTCTACTAAACAGATAAAAAAATCAAATTGAAGAAAAAAAATCAGTTTCTTAAATTTGCTGTTTCAGTTGCTTAGTCAATAAGTCCCTGATTCACTATGGAATCATTTGTTTTGGATTTCCTCAGAATTCATTTCGGATTGTATCCATGTCAGCCAGTTCTGAAATTCAGACGCTTTCAAATGACTAAATTCATTCAATATTCTATTTGGAATGAAACAAATTGCACTTGTCTATTCTCCTGCTACGGATTTGAAAGGGGAAAGTCTTGATACATAACGCTGATGTGTTTATAAGTAAAGAATATTGTTATCTTGGGTTTCTGGAGACATTTATAAACCCCCTCAACCTTCAGACTTATGATTTACCATAATGTCTCAAGAACACCTCATCGGAATTATTTTCCCATAATAAATGCTTCACCATTATCTATCTTATATGTATATGAGCATTACCGCATTACCATTCAATGGAGAGCTTTGGAATTGCACTATACTTTCAGTTATAAACAATTAAAAGTCAACCAGACTTGATAGAAAGTATATATTTATTCTTAGCCTCAGTCTCTACGAACTATGCTATTTTGTTAAACTTGTGAAGATTTCACTGAGCTGTGTGCACCACATGTGTGTTTGAAATCTGCTGACTATAGCAGTGCATCTTTTAAACAAGTTTTCTTTGCCTCCCGGGGGAACGCAGGAGATTACTTTGAAAACAATAACTTTGCACATCTAACAGTGACAGCCAACCCAATATGAAGATACAGCCAATCTCGAGTGCAGCGTGAGTTTTACCTTTCCGGCCTTTGCAGACTTTCTAATACAGAATAGCCCATTCTCGGGACTTCCTCTTTGGCTCACAGCTTTGAACATCCTGGAAAAAAACAACAATATCCTCATTTATGTCCAACGTGCACAAGCAGCACGATATAATTCCACATGCATGCTGAGTACATGTGCTTCCAGACTAGCAGCGGGGATGTTTTCTCAACCTTTCACCTGCTGATATGCATAGTTACAAAGGCAAATGCCTACAAACTTCAGCAAAAAACGGAAAGGAAATTAATTTAATTAATTTGTGAGCTGATACGAGCTGAAAACACAGTAGTGATCCGGAGTAGCCCGATAAAATACCCATCAGTTTTATTTAGCACCTTCTCGGTTTTCCCTTTCTCACAGAAGCTACTGGACTCTGTGTGGGGAAATGGAGGAGTTTGTATATCCTTCGGAAGATGGAAGGGTGGTATCTCATTGGGGAGAAGCAAAAGTGTAATCTTTGTGGAGAGACTTAAGAATTGTATCTCAATGTGGTATCTATGTGTATGGATGAAGAGGTAATACCTATGTGAGAAGATGACATGACAGATCTGTTTACATCTCCCCCCCCCACAGACTGGGAGTCACTGGCAAGATTCTATGTCAATCAATCAATATGCAACCAATGAAACCCAGTAGGAAATAAAATACCTTTCAATGTCAGCAGATTCAGTGGTATCAATAAATACAGAGGGAGGTAAGGGAACCTGCAAAAAAAAAGATGACAATTCAATTATTTTTTTGTGACAAAGGATGTAAACATTTTATATTTAACCGACTTTAAAGGGACACTCTAAGCACAAAACAACTAAATTTTAATGTGAAAAATTCATTTTTTTTTTACTTTAACAGGGAGCCCAGTAATCTAAAAAAAAACAAAAAACAGAAGAACACTGTGTAAATAATGTGTTTCTTGAAATAATAATTATCAAAAATGTAATCATCGTTATAACCTTATATTATTATATGCTACACTTTATACTGCTGTACTATGTGCACTATACTACACTATATCTATTGTACAATGCTATACTACATTGGATTCTATTGCACTTCCACTATACAATTTAATACCATACTTCATGCTAGAGTACAATCTACTACACTGTATCCCAATATCATACACTAGTACACTATAGTATAACAAACTATATTATGCTACAGAACAAAGTAAACATTGTTAGCATATTGGAAACTTGTATAATTTGAAAATCGTCATTACTTGGGTGAATAAAATACATTTCATATGAAGTTGGTTTCCTAATTCTGGCTGAAATTTTCCAGTAATTTTTGATTATTCACTGTTTGGCATGTTTGACATTTAGAATGAGTGTCAAAGTCAGGAATAAAATGACAGATATGGCACCTTTACCTTTTCATAATCATCCTCACTGTCGCTTTTGTCATCTAACGTATCTTTCCGCTTTGCGGGGATAACTGGAGTTTCCAGTGCAAATGCCCTAAAACTTTGTCCATCCGGTGACGTTCTCCTAAAAAGAGAAAGATAACATTTAGATGCACATTTAAGAAAAAAGAAAAAAGGCGTCAGAGTTGTGCTTTGCAAAACAGCATCCCAGACAAGGATCTTCCTTGTAACTCAACTCTGCTTGTGTGAAGATCATCCCACCCAATTATCAGGGATGACTTCTCACAATGAGGGGAAAAGAACAAACGTTCTTTGGAATGCAGTAGAATTTTTTATTTTTTTTTATATTGACATTACCTAACTGTGAGTCTTGATACAGAGAATAATAAGATGGTCACAATAACATAATACAACAACTTGCACAATAGTTTGGATTGTCCTCTTCATTCTAATCCTATCTTGTTTGCCAAATTCCTCTAAACATTGGGTAATATTGCTTACGTTCGGTTAATGCAAGGCAATTTTTGTATAGCTCACTTTAATTAACTTATGGAAATGATTTAGACTGGTCTTTGCAATATCATTCAACTGCTTTCACGTACACATTATATGTTAAAGGTGTAAAAGAATAATACTTGTACATGCCACATAGGAAGTAACAGAGAAAACAAACAAAATCTCAAGGTAAACTTTCTGGTATGAGCCTTATTGAGCATAACGGTCATAAGAAAGTTTTCTTTACAAAGGCACTACATTTAAAAGGGGGCAGATTTTGAATAAACTGATAAATTAAATAAATAGGTATGGTATTCGTTTTTATAAAGGTTTTTAGAAAAGAATAAATATCTCAGCCTTTACACATCAGGAGTTAATATTTTTAAAGAAAATCTGATTGATAATAGGCCGTTGCTCTGCGCCCTAGCAAAATCTGAAAGTGAATTCCAATGTGATTACTTCAATCATTCTAAACGATGTATCATTTCTACAGAATTCATTCTCTTTATTTATGTTTTGTACTTACAATATTGGAGAAGCGGAGGGTCTTTCCACTGGTGTGCAATTCTTTCCAGCCATGTGATTCCTGGATATGGGTGGAGGCTTCTGTAGACTTATCTTTAGCAGAGTAGGTTTGGTTCCATCGATGTTAGGGCTAACATTAGGTGATTTCTCAATAGAGTCTAATCTGGGCTTGTTGGGAGGCACTGGAGGACTTGGAGTGGTCATAACATTGTTTGGTTTAAACATAGATGTTTGGTTGTTGGGTTTGCTTGGTGGGACTGGAGGTGGTCTAGTAATTGTTCCTATAGACTTGTCAGTTCCTGATTTGTTTGTTGGTACTGGAGGTGGTATAGGAGAGCTCATTTTAAACTTATTGTTGAGTTCTTTACTCAAATTGCTAACAACACTCTCGCCTGACTGGGGTTTTGTTACCCTGGTCCCCCTAGGTTCACAGTTTATAATACCTCTTCGTTGAGGTAATGGTTGTAGTAAGGGAGGTGGGAGATTTATACTTGCTTCAGAAACGTTGTGGTTGGGGAGGCAAGTAGATTCCTTTCTTTGACTTGGCACCTCTTTCTCAATCATGTCAGTTGAAATCCTTCGTACAGGTGCAATTGGGGGAGGAGGAGGTGGCTCCCCTTTATTGTGAACTACAGGAAATATAGGTATTGGGGGTGGAGGTGGCTTTGTGCTGGGAAAGTTCTTTCTTGGATTTGTGACATCTAGATCTTTCAGATCAGGTAAGCTGGCTTTAGTAGAGGAAATAGGAGAAAGGTGCTTAATGGGTGTTGGAACATCGGACATCCTCCTCTCACTCTGTTTCGTCCGTGGAATTGGTGGTGGGGGATATGATGGTGCACTAGCTGCATAAGAACAAATAAACAATAAGAGTATTAATAAGACAAACAAACAAAATAGCCCGTTTGTCATTGTCACTTTAACTCTTATAGCATGCATAGTGTTTTAATTACAAAAGTATTTCTGTTTAAGCTAACCTAGTCTTTGCTGCAGTTGTAGAGTAAAACTTACACTTAGAACCTTAGGCCATTTTTATACTTATCTTGAAAATTCTCTGGATATATTTATGTGCTGGTTTCAAACATTCCATGGAGATAGAGATATAGATATATTCCAAGGATGTATTTGTATAACCTTTTTTAACAATTATATATTTGTGTGTTTGTCTCATTTATATATACAAAAAGATGGATACAAACCCATCTAATGAGGGCACTGGACACTAGAAAAACAGTATAGTAAAAACATACATAAGCTTTATTCTGCAAAACTTGCAATTATGAATAATATAAAAAAATAAATAGCAAACAACAGTATATGCCAGTCCTATTTTGAGACCAGGGAACAATAGCCCGGCAACAACCACTTAGCTGACAAGTAAACAGATGGAAAAACGCAGCCCTTGGTCGTGACCCCCAGGGCTGGGGTATATTTGCAACTCGAGCAAAGATGGAACTGCAGTGGTGTACTGAAGGTCTCTGGACTGCTAGACTGCTAGTGCGGAGAGCTCAACGTGTTTCGTCCCGCTTTATTCGGGACTTCCTCAGGAGCTGTGGACGTTCTGTTTCTTCCTCCGGCGTCTCTTAAATCTTCGCGCCCAATCTAGCCACAGCGCATATTTATATATACTATAAATTCATTTTTATGCGTGTCTTGAACAATCTAATGACGTATTTGTGTACTTTTGTTGAACAATCTTATTATATATTTGTACATATTTGTATGTGTTAAATACTGTACTGATGTCTAGTTGTATGATTACTTTTTACAGTTAGTGGATGACCTATTGTGTATGTAGGTGGATGTGTCCCTTCAAAATCTAAAAAAAGCGCACAAAAGAGTTTCTGCAGTAAGTGAGCCAAACTGTGCTTACGATTTCACAATATATATACCTATCTCATTCTCCTGTTCACAAATCCCATCCCTGTGAGATTGTAAAAAATGCAGCATGCTAGGGGACAAGGATACACAAGATGACAAGGTATCCTGCATGTGACCATTTGTAACAAAATCCTCAATTTAAAGTAACACTCTGGGCACCATAACAACTTAATAGAAATTAAGTTATAATGGTGCCAGAGGGTCCCTAGCACTTCCTTACCAGTGATACAGAGTCTGCTCTGCAGTGCCGTTTCTATCTGTCCATATATATATATATCCACTTTTAGAAATTCTTAGAAAGCAAATCTTTGCACCGATGTTCCCATTAGAGCGGTCAGCTGACATTCTAAGCCAATCATTAACTCTCCATTCATAAAAAAGGAAGGCTGTTATAGAGCCCTTTGTGTTCCTTTAATATTTTTGGATGAGCTTTTCAAATGATTTAATATTTTTGGATAAACTTTTAAAGGGACACTATAGTCACCTGAACAACTTTAGCTTAATGAGGTTGTTCAGGTGAGAACTATAGCTCCCTGCAGCCTTTCTCATGTAAACACTGTATTTTCTCGGAAAATACAGTGTTTACATTGAAAGCTAGGAACACCTCCAGTTGCAGTCACTCAGAATGCCACCAGAGGGACTTCCGAGTTGATGGAGGCATAAAACTCCTCAATCCACTCAGATCTGCTGTCAGCAGAGCACAGGGCAGCACTGTGTCTCCTCCCATTGCATGCAGACACTGCACTTTCCTCATAGAGATTAATTGATTCAATTCATCTCTATGAGGAGATGCTGATTGGCCAGGGCTGTGTTTGAATCATGCTGGCTCTGCCCCTGATCTGCCTCCTTGTAAGTCTCAGCCAATCCTATGGGGAAGCACAGCAATGCAATAATGGTATTTTACTTCGTTCCAGTTACGTATTGCTTTATGTAGGAACGGTCCCTATTCTGCTCTGTCAGTGTGTATCAGGGGATCCTTAGGACAGGTGTCAATCCATATCACTGCCAAGTGACCCTATGTTAACATTCCCTATTCGTCTGTGTCAGTGTGTGTATCAGGGGCTCTGAGGACGGTGTCAATCCATATGTCAAGGTGTCAATATGTCATATGTCAGGTGTCAATCCATATTGATTGTGATTTAGGAATGTTAGGTGATTTCTGCCCTTTATGGATTAAAACAAGACTCTGTATCAACTGTGTAATTTTCCATGGGAGTTTTGCCATGGATCCCCCTCCTGCATGCCACAGTCCAGGTGTTAGTCCCCTTGAAACAACTTTTCCATCCCTATTGTGGCCAGAAAGAGTCCCTGTGTGTTTTAAAATTCGCCTCCCCATTGAAGTCAATGGCGTTTCGGGCGGTTTGCCGGTTCGCGAACACTTGCGGAAGTTCGCGTTCGCCGTTCGCGAACCGAAAATTTCGGGTTCGCGACATCACTATACACAAATCGGCATGATTATTATTATTATTGTTGGTTACATTATCTTTTCTCTCTCTTTGAAATTAGTTATTTTTAAGTTTATAAATGATAAAACCTTGTGGGCAATCTGAAATGCAAACTTAAGTTGTGAAATGTTATAAAGAAGTTTAGGCGTATTGCAAAGAATTTACAAAGATTTTAAAAAAAAAAGTGGTTTAGATGAACCTCCATTCAAACATCCTGTTGCCCTTTGTTTATACTGCATATAGTAAAATGATGGTCAACTGTATAACACACAATATGGATGCCATGCCATGTGGCTGGTTAAACAAAGCTTATAAAATCTCTACAGGTAGGGGGTGGGCAGACAAACCAGCTTCAACATGAAGCCAATGCATTCTGGAAGATCAAAAACTCTAATTTTACATCTGGAGTTAGTGTTCTCTTGACATGACATTCTCAATTTCTATAAGGCTTGTCACTGAGGAGATAGGCTAGTAGAAAAAGGAAACTTGAGATTGGGCCATCAATTTATATTATATCTGTCATTGTGCTTTCTCTATTGCTGTTCCTTGGTTGATTGTAAGCTCATGTGGTTAGTGACACGCAACACAAACTTGCTGTATTGCTATTAGTGCAGTAATTGTGATATACTTTACACATGGTTGTGGGTGGGGGATCTTACATACAGGATTTTATCTGACACACTGATTAATTTGGGTTGGGTTCTGTTTTCTTTGCTAATATTGAATGCACAAAGACGCCAACAGACATTAAGTTTTCAAAGTCTTGATGGTGGGCAGCTACCAAGTGAGTGTGGAGCTTCTGATACATTTTCTGTGCTTCCTGGCTCAATAGGGAAGGGAAGAGGTTTAGTGTTTATCTCAAAGTAAGTTAATGTTTTCATTTGTGTAAAGAACGTAAGGAGTTTTGTCACAGTGGTGTTTTTTTTTTCACCTCTGACTGCACCTGTGGTGTAGCAGAGCCTTTCCGCCTTCTGCCTGCGCAGCCAGTTACTTGCTAGGGAAATGTGTTGGCACTTTGGAAGTCCACTCCCCACACTGAAGACTGAAGGAGTGCAAATGTTTTACCCTAGTACACAATTTACTGCCACCACCAAGACTTTATAGCTGGGCATCTTAGGTTATAAGCAGGAGAATTATAGTATCACAACCTTACTTTACTGACCAGACATGTAAAATTAACCATTTGGTAATGTGTTCACCTGAGCTTTCCTCAGGAGAGTGAGATCATAGAGAATAAAGACATGAGCTGATTAAGTAAACATTGAATCTGACAAAAAGGATTCACAGTGCCGTGTACACAAATACAGAAATAAATGACATACCGAAACACAGGTAACAAGTTACAAAACAGCCCATAAAATAAAATAGGAGAAAACACAATAAATCCTTATATATATTTACCAGATGTTAAAGTTCCCCAAGCAGTTGTAAAAAAGAAATCTCTGTATGGATAATCCAACATTCTGATTATATAGCTCAAACTGGTTGTTTTTAGTGGTCAGACCCCTGGGTGGATCAGAGGGGTTTGGCCTGGCGGATTATTGTCCCCTCCATCAGACCTGTCCAGGGCACTAGTGTGGATTTACCTGAAAACACAACAGGCTTTCCAAAATGTGCCATTTACAGTATACCTCTATAATGTGAGTTTTTAGAGATTCTTGTGAGTTTTAGAGATAAAACATTAACTCCTTGGAAAGTGTGCATTCTGGTTTCCCATGACAGTCGCACCTTCCGCTGGGCATGTTTGGTACCAAACAAATAGATATAACCTGGACAATCTAAATATATATTCATATTGGGTCTTCTCATAATATATACATATGTTTTCCATATTTCCTTACATGATGTTGTCCTTTGAATAAACCAAAGTCAGAGCATATGCACCAATACCTTTTATGATACCCTATGTCCAGCTCTGGTGATGGTTATCTAGTAATTACATATAATGGCTTAGGCCTGGTGTTAGATCAAAGCCTACAATAAATGTTATCCCAGCATGTACAAAACCTACATCATGAATCAAATGCCAACTCATGCTTTGGCATGACACTTGCGCATTTGTTTACAGACAAATTGCAATTTGTCCAAATTTAGCTTGATCGATGAATAGTCCAGCTTCTATAACTCCAAAACGCCACATGGACTTATAGCCAATTTAACTACTCGTGCAATGTTCACTTGATTTGTGATTCAGAGCTTCATCCGTGGCACCAAAAAGAGAGATGTTTGATGGGGAAAAAGATGATTTATGGTTAGGGGACAATAACTACATATTTATTTTTATTCATAGATTAAGTGAGATGTGACCAATAGAGGTAAAAAAAGGAGTAGTAAAAAAAAATAAATCTATAATTTTTCTGTATGACGATTGGCCCATTTTAATGCTTTTTTTGGCTTGTCCAAATTGCTTTCCCCAAATATTTTTGCATGGATCTCCACCTGTACAACTATCTGACTACAAAAACGTATTTTTGTTTTTATGAATTGATTCGGGTGAACCAAAGTTTTTCAAAGATTTTGGTGTCCTTATTTGAGCCAAAAGATGAATGTAATACTATTTTTATAGTATTATAATATGTTTCAACTCATATTGTTCATATATATAACAAAACAAAATAAAACACAACCACAGCCACTAATATTTTTTATAAATGCCTACCAAGTTCAAAATAACTTTTCCAAATATTAAATTTAAAGTTTTCAGACCTGATGAAGGTGAGTTCTTAATCTATATAAAAAAAAAATATTCATATGTATAATGCTACCAGAATAATGTATAAATAATTATTTTAAATGGCAATAGTCTTTTTCAAAAAAAATTCTTAGTGCTAATTACGGCTACTTATGGGTTAAAGTAACAGTCTAAGCACCATAACCACTACATGTTGTTGTACTAATTATGGTGCTAATAGTTTGTGGAGGGTGTTCTTCAGTTCTGGGGAAAACTATTGTGGGTATCCACAGCATAGTCCCTGTTTGCTATGTTTCTGATGCGTAAGTTCTATTTTTGGATGATATGCTGACAATGTCACCAGACTTGTTCTGTCTCTTCTAATTTTTTATTATTTCAGTTATACTTATATTTACAAATAAAGTCTAACAGAAGCCTTGTATATCTCTTAGCCAAATAGCCAATACATTCTGAAAAGCCATTTTCAATTAATCAGTCATAGGTCGGAGCAGTAGATGTATACAGGGCCGGCTTTAGGGCTATAGGCGTCCTGTGCGAAAAAACTTCACAACCCCCCCTCCTCCCCCTTCATCCATGTATGATGTAATGTTTGGAAGACATCCACACACACAGAGGCAGGCAGTCACACACACACACACACACACACACAGGCAGACAGTCACACACACAAAGGCAGACAGTCATGCACACACACACACACAGACACACAGGCAGACAGTCACACACACACACAGGCAGACAGTCATACACACACGCACACAGGCAGACAGTCACACACACAGGCAGACAGTCACTCACACAGGCAGACAGTCACTCACACAGGCAGACAGTCATATACACACACACACACAGGCAGGCAGTCACACACACAGACACATGCACGCAGACGCACACACTGAGTCGCGCACAGACACACACACACACACACAGGAAGACAGGCATACACACAGACACACACACACACATTACAGTCATGCACACGAAGACGAACAGTCATACACTGAACACACACACACAGGCAGACAGTCAGCCTGCACAGACACACACACACACACACACACACACACAGGCAGACAGTCAGCCACACACAGACACACACACACACACACCCAGGCAGACAGTCATACACACACACACAGGCAGACAGTCATACAAACAGACACACACACACACACACACACAAAGGCAGTCATATACACACACAGGCAGACAGTCATACACATAGACACACACACACACCAGGGGTCATACACACAGGCACACACACAGACAGACACACACACACAGGCAGTCATACACACACACACACACACAGACAGTCAGGCAGTCATCCACGCACACAGAGACACACACACAGGCAGTCATCCACACAGACACACACACACAGGCAGACAGTCACACTCACACTGACAATCACACAGTTATCTGTGGAGTTCATTGAGGAGGCAGTGCAGCTTCTGGATACTGTTTGGTGGGGAAGCAGGACTCCTACCTGCTTCCCCTGCAGCAGTTATCCGGCGCTTTTAGCTCCGCCCTGTCGCACAGGAAACTCCACCCCTGCCGCATGGTAAGCCCCTCCCCCGCCACAATTTATTTATTTATTTTAAATTCCGTCCGGCCGTGTGTGAGCTGTGTCGGCCGCAGGGCACCCCCTGCTCCTTGGCTCCCTGTGCGGCCGCACAGCTCACACACCCCTAAGGCCGACCCTGGATGTGTAGGATCATGTCTTTGTTGCAATAGAGTGAGGAACAGTTACACTGGTTCAGAAAGACAGAGTTTTACAATTTGCAAATATGCTCGTTATCAGTTACAAATAAAGTAATGTTAGTAACCCTCTCCTTTTTACCATTTCTCACAATATAATACACATCCCCATTGCTGGCACATATCTTACAATAAGGATTTGGGAGTGTGAGCAGTAACATCTGTTGACCTTGAGTGGAAACAAGCATAGGTACATGCACTAAAACTTCAATCCCAAATATAATTATACTGCCAAGTCAAGCAATGATACTGCTGAGCATACAATTTAGCCTATTAACCCTTTGACTACTACTGGTTTGCACTTTGGTGTTTTATAACTATATGGGTATTTTCTACATATCCTTTAAATAACATGATGGGTGCACTTAATGAGAACATGCGAAGAGTCTTAGGGCAAACAAATATCAAAAGAGACAAAATAGCTGCAGTCATGAACATACACAATCTAAGAATAACCTCACTCACAAATAGTGTATTACAGGGTGTCTCAATGCCATGCTTGTACGTAAAATACTTGCAAGCTACAAAGATTGTAATCTGTAAAATGCAATTTATTTTTTTATATTTGACATGCCAAATATATGAAGAAATATATTGGAACTGACAACACTGTATGTATTCCTGTGATATTACATTTAAATTGTACATAAAAAAAGAAAAAAGGGGGTAGATGCACTCTCGGAGAGCTCCCAGCTTACCGATACATAAACAGGCCAAACAATCTCACAAAAATGGAAAATGGGGAACAAGAAAAAATATCTAGGCTCCCAAGACCACATGGAACCAAGTTCCACAAAAAAAGCAGAGGAACTCGACAACTACTTTAGAGATAAAAAACAGAATTCTAACGGCGGACGCTGAGGACAGTATGGTTGTGCCATCTTTGCCAAACAGATTCCCCGCCACATTGCCCGGCCATCTCTGAACTACCTACTTATTCAAGGGAACCAGACCTCAGAAAACTCATACAAAACTTACCCTCAAAATAGGATATAGCCTGGATGTTGGCAAGGCTTGAGTCATCCGTACAAGAAGAAATCTCAGTGCTGCTGATGGACATGTAGGCCATTTTTTCTTAATTGTATTTTAATGTTAATGTTTATATTATTTTATTGCTCAGTGCATACATTTTACTTCATAGCTTTCACATTTGTATTTGAGTATGTGATCTACAGTACAAGGGACACTAGAACATGTGTCATAACAGGACAAGTTTCATACCAACAGGACCTTAAAGACAGAACCACTAACGTCACGAAAGACAAGCCCAAAACTCTCACACAGCCTGCCCATCAGATCGGTCAATGGGAGTGGTGCTCACTCATAACGGAAATAGAGACTGACTACTTTAACACCCTTGGACCTCGGATCCAGCACTTCGATCACCTAAAACAATTAATAGGTAATCACTCTCCGCACCTTTGACCACTGAGCAGTGCAAGTAGGCCCAATCGAATCCTACCTACCACTATTCCTGTCCCACCGATACAGGTAGGAAATAAGACAGGAATAGCACCGATTCCATATCTAGGCAATATTGATGCTTCAATTTGCATTTTTCTGTGCCACCTATCTTAGGCGCACTAATTTAATTCTAATTTCTATTTTTTTTTTTGAGGTGCCTGTTGGGGAGCAACACCCTACCTGCAGTTTATAATGACACAAAATATTCAAGATTAAATGGGGACTTTTACCAAGAGTCTTCAACACCCCTGAAAAGTGTATTCTGGTAATGAGAGATCTTATGAGAACAAAACCGGATCCACTTGAGGACACCTAGCTAACACATCCAAGCCTAAACATAGAAAATTCCCATTAGTTTACTACAATAACTACAAACATAGCAAATCTAGAGACGTGGTAATCTTAATCAGAGCTCATGTGTCCTGAGTGGTGGTCCGAAGACTGGGACCCCTGTATGCCTGATGATGGTAGGAGTCACAGCGTGGAAATGAACTATCAGGGTCTGCTGCAGGGTAACCACGCCTTCTGGTGTTGAGCACCAGGGTTTGTGCGGCCACATACCAGGGCCCTGATGCAACTTCTGCGGATCCCAAAAGCTTGACATTATGCAGATATGTATCCAGTATTAGAAACAAGGTAAGACTAGAACAGGCACCAAACATAACAAGACAAGACTAGAAGAACCCAGAAATGTAGCAGGACAGAAAGCAGAACCCAGAACATGTACACAAAACATGAGGGAAACAAGAAGAGGGCATGGACAGGGCAGGACAGGACTGTACATGAACTGGGAATACAAGACAAAATAAGACAAGAGATACACGTCAAAACAAGGAGAAATAACTAAGTACTATATATGTAATAAACATTGGAGATTTAGACATACATAAATGGCCAGGATATATGCAGCCCACCACTGTGCCCAAAGTATTTCAATTATGGTGGGTCCTAACTGCCTAGATATGCATGACTAAAAGTACAACAATAAAACACACACAGTACTTACCTGCAAGGAAAGGAGCAGAGGAATGAGACCACTGCTAGCAGGAAACACTGGTGTGGCAACAAAAAACAAACATTTAAAGGAATCCAGGAGACTGGGAATTCCTGTAACAGATTAACCCAGAAAACCCAGCATAAAGAAAATCAGACAGGGAACAGAGAGCCAGAAAAACCAAGAAAAACTAAACAAGAATTGTGAAAAGAGTACTAGATATCAGAAGCCAAGGCCAGAAATGATCCACAGACAGGAACAGGATATGACAATGTACCATTTACCTACACTCACCATTCTGTTGACGAATCAGGGTGATATATCATCCTTAAAGGCCTGATAGCATCTTTCCCGGTCACATTAGCCAATATATATCTCCCTAACAAAAACCAATGTGCCGCCCTGGGATGTATAATAACTATCATCAATAAACACGCAGATGGGGCTCTCATATTAGGGGGGACTTTAACTTCTCCCTCTACTTTGGAAGAGACAGTACTGCCTTAACCCCTCTCACCAACAGTCTGCCAGACAGCAAATGTAGAATATCCTACGAAATAACCAACTAGCAGATTGTTGGAGGATTCTGCACCCACATACCAAAGACTGCAACTTTTACTCAAAACCAGCATCTACATGCATGCAAAATGACTATTTTCTAACCGCCCATAAAAATCTGTTCTTGGTGAGGGAAGACCATGCCCCGGTAACCCTCAAACTACACACCCATACAACCCCAATAACGAAATGCCAATTAAACCCATCTATTATACAACAAGATATGACTGAAGAGGCCATTTCTAAAGCAAGCCAGCTATATTTCCAAATAAAACTCCAGACACCACCCCATTTTCCAATAGGAATCATATAAAAGTGTCTTGAGAGAGGAGCTGATCCAATTGGGGTCATTTCTTAAACGAGAGTGTTTGAAAAGACAGATACAAATATTAGAAGAAATACAACTTTTTGAGAACTCTCAGAAAAGCACCCAGTCAGAATCTGACTATCGTAGGCTGGTATCCTTTCACGCCGAACTTAAAACTCTCCTGAGTGAAAAAGTAAAAAAAGTCTTTATGCTGGACAAAACACCTCTTCTACACACATTGAAATAGGTGTGGTAAACTGCTGGCGAATCCCCCCAAGCAAGAGCAACAAACATTTATTCCCAAAATTAAAAACTCAAAAGATGAACTACTACACACTACAGAGGACATACCCAAAGCCTTTAGAAATGTTTACCAATCCCTCTGTAACCTAGACACATGGCCACCGGGTACACAAAACATTTACACATAATTGGCTGATAAATATTTGCAATAGGATTACCTCCGCAATCTCAAGGTCACTAGATAAGCCGTTTATGGCTGAAGAATTACAAAACACTAACCAAACCACCCCCACAAACAAAAGTCCAAGGCCTGGACGACTTCTCCTCTTTATACTATAAAACATGTGGAAAAGACCTAGGACTGCACTTTCTAGAGGCTGTTTATTCAATTTCCCCATCACACAAAATTCCAACACCTAGCTTGGAAGCAACTATTATGCTGATCCCTAAGCCGGGTTAAAAAAAACGCCCAATTTCCCTGATCAATGTTGATGTCAAATTGTTCACCAAAATGTTGTCAGTACGCTTAAGACCTTTACTGACTGGGCTGGTCCACCTTGATCAGGCCGGGTTTGTGCCTACACAGGAGGCAAAAGATAACACCACCAGTCCACTGGGAGTGGACCACCTAAGTACCTTCCCTATTACTAGCCATATAGGCAGAAAAGGTATTCAACAGGGTGGACTGGCCCTTCTTATAGCAACATTCAGGACCATTGGTTTTGGGCCCAGATGGCTCAGTTGGATTGAGGCTATTTACTCTACCCCTACGGCAAGACTTAAAATAAGCGACCAACTCTCCAAGCCCCTAACTATCAGAAATGGAACCAGACAGGGATGTCCCTTATCCCCCCTCCTGTTCATTCTACTACTCGAACCATTCCTCCAGGCAATTAGGAAGAATAAGGAAATAGAGGGTATGAGAGTGGGGACCCAAGAATTTAAAGTGTCACATTTGTAGACGATTTATTATTCACAGTTGTAAACCTTTCCAAATCGTTACCCCCACTCTTGCAAGAAATTACCAAATATAGTTGTCTATCCAACTTCAAGGTCAACACCAATGTGAGATACTCAACTTAACGGTAGAACAATCAGAAAAGAGTCAATTGCGGGAACAATTTCCATTCCAGTGTGCCTAAACATCCATAAAATATCTAGGGATAAATATCACAAGTGCCCCTGGTGATCTACAGTTGTGCTCAAAAGTTTGCATAGCCTTGAAGAATTTATTTTATTTATTTATAAAATATTTTACCAGGAAAGATACATTAAGATTTCTCTCGGTTTCAAGTATGCCCTGGGTTCACAAAACATTGCATTCATACAGTAGGTTACAATAGAATACAAAGACAGTATTAATATACAATATATAAAAAATTTAACGTGGAACAGGTAAGAAATAAATAATAAACCATGACAGGTGCATTCTGTTTTGAGAAGCACTGCAATTATGGAACAACCTCCAGCACACTTTCAAATCTTCCCCAAACCTAAAATCCTTTAAGAGATCCCTCCCTACATATCTCTATTGAGGTAGACTAACTAAAGTGCTGGTACCGGATTGGAGGTTGTAGGAGGTGGGAACAGCCAGGGAGAGCATTCTGCTCAGGTGGGGTGGGTGCTTCCCAGAAAAGTTCATAAACACAAGGCTGGAGAATTGGTGAAATATGTACCATTTTTAAAGAAAACATGAGTGAGCAGGCAAAACACATTTATTTTATTTCTTATGGGATTCATATTCAACTGTAGGTTGTAACCGAATGGCACAATCATAAAACAAAACATGGTAACAAAGAAAAATATGAAATGATCACTATTAAAAAGTCTGCATACCCTTAGTTCTTAATACTGTGTATTGCCCCCTTTAGCATCAATGACAGTGTTCAGTCTTTTGTAATAGTTTTCTATGAGGCCCCTAATTCTTAAAGGTGATATAGCTGCCCATTCATCTTGGCAAAATTCCTCCAGGTCATGCAAAGTCGTTGGTCTTCTTGCATGAACCATACGTTTGAGGTCTCCCCAGAGTGGCTTAATGATATTAAGGCCAGGAGACTGTGATGGCCACTCCAGAACATTCACCTTTTTCTACTGTAACCACTAAAGGGTCAACTTGACCTTGCGCTTAGGATCATTGTCATGCTGGAAAGTCCAAAAGCATCCCATACCCAGCCTTCAAGCAGAAGAATGCAAATTGTCTGCCAGTATTTTCTGATAACATGCTGCATTCATCTAACTTTCAATTTTCACAAGATTCCGCGTGCCTTTAGAGCTCACACACACAGCGGCGTACATACCGCGGTTGCAGGGGTTGCAGCTGCGACCAGGCCCGCCACTCCAGGGGGTCCGGCCGCCCTGTGGACCCCTGTGACCGGGTATCCGCCACCATCATCTTCTGTGGCCCTGGCTTGCGCGGCGAACCGCCGGGGCCGCCGTCCAAGGGGTCCATCGGTCCCAATGGATGTGGATTGTAAGGGGGCCGGGTCAGCGCTGGGCGCTTTAA